ACATACATACATTACATACATACATTACATACATACATTACATTACATACATTACATTACATACATTACATTACATACATTACATTACATACATTACATTACATACATTACATTAATACATACATACATACATACATACATATACATACATATACACACACACAGACAGACAGACAGACATACATATTTATATATATATATAAGATATACACAGCATATAATCCATTTCATCCAGCCAAATGCATCCTGTCAAAAGCTAAAAACGCTCCACTCTAGAGCAAAAAAAAAGCACCAGTCCCTGGGCTACGTTTTGCGTCAGTCATATTCTAGTCCACCTCATTCAGTTCCCTTCCAGCTTTCATAAAAAAGTCCCCAGTTTATGTGTCATCACTCGTCAGCGGTTAGTGCTTCAGTCGATTCTTTGCCTGTGAAGTCTGTCTGAAGAATTGAACTTGAAAGCACGGTGTTTCTCCGAAAGCTAAGAGAGGCTAAGAGGCCCTGAAAGTGCGCCGTGGTAGCCAGCAGTCGCAGAAGCCAAATCTGGATGGCTCAGCAAATGATTGTGTTTTCTGATGCTTTTCAATGTCTTTGTGCGTTCACAACTGCATGTTTCACATAATTACCAGAGATGTGCCAAGTTTCATGGTTTCAAAAGACTTCCTAAGCACTGCCAAGAAAATGTCTGTGGTCATCGTTCTGCCCTGCCTCGTTCGATGTCACCCTGCATACAGTCGTTCCAATCACCTCCGGACAGTGCGCCTGTCTATTTCTAACCTGCTACAGCACCTGCAACACGTTTCCCACCCGTAGCAGTGATTCATAGTGATTCACAATTCTCAGACAAGTCGCTGTACATCATATTCTCTGGCGCCGTTGAACCATCGCCTAGGATACAAGAGATTCACACCACAGTGCCACGGTGCAAAAAGACCAAAACACGTCATGTCAAGAGCTGCAAGAGCTGCGAATGCAGCTTCCAACAGCGGAACAGCACCGTCACCAGCGTCACCCCTGCCTCCACCATATGGACTGAAGATCCCACCAGCATTTTTGGCCACTTCGCATGGATGATAGTCTGGAATGGTAGCCTCTTTTGTCGCTGGTTCAGCTTCCAGTTTGGAAATGGTCATCACTTCCTCGTCTTCTTCGTTGGTGAAAGTCTCTGACACTTCCTTCCACAAGTTCTCGTAATTCAGACATTCGCTGGCATACTTGGGCCTCCAACGTGCCAAAGGAGTAGTGACGAATTTCAACTCAATGCATGACATCATATCGCGATAAATATATATATATATGTAAAAATAAATAAATAAATGTATATGTGTGTGTGTGTGTATGTATGTGTATGTGTATGTATATGTATATGTATACGTATATGTATATGTATATGTGTATGTGTATGAGTATGTGTATGCATGCATACATGCATGGATGTATGGATGTATGCATGCATGCATGCATGTGTGTAAATATGTATGTAAGTATGTAAGTATGTATGTAAGCATGTAAGTATGTAAGTATGTAAGTATGTATGTGTGTAAGTATGTATGTATGTATGTATGTATGTATGTATGTATGTATGTATGTATGTATGTATGTATGTATGTATAAAATATATATATATATATAAGTGTGTGTGTGTGCGCGCATATGTGTGTGTGTGTGTGGTGTTGGTGTTGGTGTTGGTGCTGGTGTTGGTGTTGGTGGTGGTGGTGGTGTTGTTGTTGTTGTTGTCGTTGTTGTTGTTGGTGGTGGTGGTGGTGGTGGTGTTGGTGTTGGTGTTGGTGTTGTTGCTGTTGTTGTTGTTGTTGCTGGTGGTGGTGGTGTTGTTGTTGTTGTTGGTGGTCTTGTTGTTGTTGGTGTTGTTGTTGGTGTTGTTGTTGTTGTTGTTGTTATTGTTGTTATTGTTGTTGTTGTTGATCTATATTGCATCATCTTTATCAGTATGCTTATAGAATATTATGTTGCCTTACAAGAGTCTGTATGAGTGGTGTGAAGCTGGCCGTGCAAGTTCGTCCAAGAATCTGTTCGGCTTTGAATTCTTCCAGCTCTGGCATCCAGGGCTGCTGTGGGCCTTACGCGGCATGGCTGCATGGCTGCATGGCTGCATGGCTGCATGGCTGCATGGCTGGTGGAGTCTTTGTCCACTGAGAAAGTCATCTGTAGAATGATAGACACAGTGCAAAAAAAGCCAAAAGGGATGCCAGATCATATTGCAAAGACTGGATTTGTCAAGCGTTTCTGCAATATTGTCAATATCCAGCGAGCATTTAGAACCTAAACCTTCCTGTTTGAAATCAAACAAAGAGGGTAGCACAAGCATCCGGACGAATGAGCCTAATAGTGGTCTAATGGTACTGGGGGCCGGACGTCTTGGCGGTTTCAGCATCAGCGCATCTTCGACGGATAAGGGTTTTGCGCCGGCTTCGTCTGGGCTATCAAGCAAATTCAAACAGTGCCTGTGCCTCTTGCCCCCCATGTCTCAGCAAAGGGCCGTTTCAAGCGATCAAATCCGGCCGAAGTGTCAAGCAGATTCAAGCACCATCTTGCAGAAGTCTGGGCCAAGAAAAATTCAACAAACTAAGCGCAGCAAAGGCGCTGGGAACACCAGCAGCCAAGAATTCTCCATCAAAATCGCTGACGTTGACCACATCAAAGTCAGCCCCTGGAACTTCTAACGGTGAAGCCTGATTTGTGATCTTGGAGCAGGACGATCCAAGACACCACTTCCCCACATCTCTGTCCTTAAGTCATGAAAGTTCGTGAGCTGGGACCATGCCACAAATAGAATTTGTGTCACAAACAATGTCAGTGCGCTGATGCCAACGGATAGCAGTACACATATCATATGCATATGTATCATATGTGATGTACGCAGTTGCCTAGATTATGTGTAGAAACAAGTTAAAAGTCACAAGCAACCACAAAAGTATGCCCTGCAGAATGCACTGTTTCTTGAGCCATTCCCACACGGTAATGTGAGTGAAAAAACTAATACATGTACAAGGACTGTGCAACAACACCCCCCGTGCAGTGTAGCGCCTTTACAAGGGTGAAGCTGCAAATTAGGCTATGTACAGTCTAGTAAGGGATGCCATTAGAAAACATAACACCAACCAAACCAAACCCCGGAAACACGGCCTTCCTCTTTGTAGTTCTTTGACTTTTCACCTCAGCGTGGCAGAAATAACGACAAGTGCAATTGCGAATGCAATCCATTCTCCAAGTTCAACGAAAGACGAATGCAACGCAAGTCAATTCGGTCGGATGCATTCAGCTTTATTTTAGGCTCAACCGGGCTTGTGGTCGAACATGCAAACGTGTTGAAGTGTGGCCCCTTACTAGGCCAGCGTTTCCACGTGGCATCAAAAGTTCTTGTGGACGCCCGGGAGCTTGCCAAAGCAAAGCGATTTAATTATGGCAAAAGCTGAATTCGGTTGTGTGAACCCGCAGGGGAGCATTGAGAAAAGCTTCAAAGATGCCTTAGTTTCATAAGGCAAGAGCTTCCGCTCTGCGGTACATGCAACTACCAGCCGTGTGCTCAGCAAGAAGGAATCATGGCAAGAATAAGATGAGTGCCAAATGCCTGCTTCAAATTATATGCATTCAAAGCGTTAAAGAAATTTGTGAACTTGAATTGAGTTGGCAAAAAATTCCTACTTAGCACACACAAGTTTGGATGTTGGTGGAATCGCGCACCCACCCGGGCAATGAAGCGAATCACCTACCTCGAATTAAATCTCAGTAGGCAAAAGCTTCCGCTTTGCGACACCTCTTCCAGAATGAAGCCATCCCGCCTCGAGTGATAGACACACATCAGGCGAGAGCTTCCGCTCCGCGATGTCTCAGCGATAGCCTTGGCCGTACCGACGATCTCGGTACTGATGGCCTTGGTTTCGACGACGCCAATCTTCCCACTCCTGATCGGTCCACTGGTTGTAGAAATCGTTCCACTCCTGCTGTGTGTAACCGTGAGTTGGACCTTGATGAGAACCATACCCAGGCCTGGTAGACCTGGTGTAATCCGGGTTCGTCTGCCTGGTCGCAGGGAGGGGTCGGCTTCCGCCTTCCGTATCAACAGCTTCGGTGAGAGGCCGAAGAATGTTGTTCACGTAGCTGAGGATGTCAGCGTAAACATCCTGCTTGGTCAGTGCAAGCGACTGGAAGGTGGTGTTCGCGTCGCTGAGAACTTCGAACCGGTCCTGGATCGGGAGGACCGCGTACGCCGCCGCAAAGTGATTAGCGCGGTAGAAGCGATTCTTGAACCAGAATAAAACATGGTCGTCGACAACCAATGTTTGCATCTGTCCGAGCTCCTGCGCGACGATGCACATGCGTGCTTTGTATTGGCGTACTTTTCCAGTACGAATTTCTTCTTTTGTGCGCTTGATGTTCGGAAGCACCACATTGCCGAGCACTGCAATCCAGTGCATGCACTTCGGCGTGAGGTCCTGAACCGCACAATTGAAACCGTAGTGGGCGTCCGTTCCCAGACGCTGGAGCAATGACATTCCTGCCTTGCGCGCCTGCTTCATGTAGGATCGCGCATGGTTCTTCAGGACTGCGGCGGCAGAACGGATCTGCTTGGATCCCTGCGTTGTGCCTGCAACGTCATCGTCCCCCAGCATGTCCAGGGTGAGCTCGAAGCCGAGCTTCTCAGCCAACTCCTCAAGTCTGAAGATTTGGGAGGCGCGTCTCATGTCCGACATAGTGGCAAGAGAAAGACCACAAGCCAGACAGATCAGCATGCCCTCCGGGAAAATCTTCCGGCACCTGGGGCAGGTCAGCTCCGGCATTGCCAAAATCGACACAAACCGCCAGCGCGTAAGCTTCCCCTCCGCGGCAGGATCGAATGCCTCCTGGTCAAAGCGATCAGAACGGCGTTCCCGCGCGTTGTCTGGGGCAACATCAAAGCCTGCAGCTGAGACGGTGGGCTTCCGAGCAACACAAAGGATGTTCTTGAAGTTGAGAGGTCGCTGCTTTTGTTTTGGAAGAAGCTCATCGACGACTTCGTACGGCGTGTTGGCTTCCTTGAAAATCAAAGGCCTGCGCAAGGTCACCACATCTTTCCACTGCGGGTACTGGTCCGTGAAGAGATCCTTCAATGCCTGGAGATCAGAAGCTTCATGGCGCTCCAAGACTTCATAGTCAGGAGTGCCCTTCCGAGCCTCGTTTTCCTTCCAGGTCAATGCATTCTTCGAGGCCTTCTGCCGAAGATATTTCTTCACCCCGTTGTAGCCATGATTCGCCCAAAGGTATTGGGACTTCTCGCAATCGAATGCGTAAATCAGGCAATGATTGGGGATCCAATCTTCGCAGATGAGTGCTCCGGCCAAGGTTTCCACCAGGCGAATGCCATAATGCAATGCGCAACCGGTGTCGATTGCCAAGCACAATGTCCTGACACCTGGGTCTTTTCCATCAATTTCCCAGGGGGCATGTCGTGTCATATACACGTGGCCTTTGCACGAAGACGCACCAGGGAAAATCCTGGTGCAAATGATGGCCTGAAGAGAGCTCCACGACGTGTAGTGGTAGATGATGCGAAACTCTTCAGGGACCTCGACTTCCGTCAGGTGTGGATAGATCGGGACTTTCGGATAAAGTCCTCTTGCAAGATCGTCCACAGAGAAGTCATAGTCCAGCGAGCTCGATGACCTGCTTCGCAAGCGGAGAGGTTCCCACCTTCTCGATGAGGGACTGGTCGTGGCCCTGGCATGCCTTGACGTGAGTGATCCTGTAAGGCATATCCAAGGTTGTGGACCTTCGGCTTGATGAACTGACCAACAGTGCCCCCAATGATCCGCGCAATCCCGCCTGAGCCAGAAGCCACCTCTTATCTCAATGGAGGCAGCAGGGTCACCTGCGCGAAGCTTTTCTTCCGCAGTCTTGGTGTCCTCGAAGATCTCCTTTTCAAGCTGTCGATGATGCTCCTCATCAGTGAGGTCGTACCGACGGATGATCACAGGGCCGTCTTCCGTGAAGGAAGTGGGTTCCTTGCGAAGTTCCAGCTTCTTGGGGTCCCGCGTCACGTCAGTGTCCAGGATGTTGACCACGCCTGATCCATCTAACTTGAAGTCCACTGCATGGATCTTATTCATCAGATGGGAGCGCAGCTTCCGCTGGCTGAAGAGAGAGGCAGAGCCACCAACAATCGGGGTCTTGAAGACCACCTCTGCATCGGCATCCGGCTCATCGATGTCCCTCTCGTCAGACACCATCGGCAGCTGGTCCAGGAATGGCTTCAAGACGGCGTCAATGAGGTCGCCATCCATCTCTGGCCCCTTGATATCGTGAGCTTCAAAGTGCTCGGGTTCCCCCAGCAGTGCCGCGTCCACAGACTCCAAAAGATTCCAGCTTGATGCCATTCCGACATCAGACTCATCCTTGACGTACGGAGTGTAGTGGAGCTGGGCACGCTCCGGGTCGACTTCGTTGGGAAGTCGCTGACCCTTGGGGCGGGTCTCCTTCACATAGATCTCCCAACTGAAACCAAAACCTCCTCCATTTCCTCCCACTGAGGATTATTCTCTGGCTGAGGATTGGCCAGCGATTCCTCGCGGCGCTTCTTCATCTCGGCGATCTCGATCAGGGGCTTGCACGAACGCAACCTGAAAAGATGATAGCCGAGAGCTCCCGCTTCGGAATAGAACCTGATGGCTTGGAGACGGTTGTGCTCCGTGTTCTCCATGTGCTGCCCATCGTACCTGGTTGTGCACTTGATGAGAGAAGTGGCGTCCAAGACACAAAGACCTCGCTTGCGAAGTGCCTCAGCTTCTCGAATCATCTGGCGGTCAAAGTCAGGATGAAGTCCATAGCCTCGACCATACCACGGCATCACAAGGACGATGTTCCCAACGTCGGCTCTGGTGGACAACTTCGTCGTTCAACGCTGTGAAATGAGTGTTCACGCGTTCTTCGATCATGTTGTTGGCCGCGTCACGACGCTTTTGGGAGTAGCATGCCATCTCCTCATTTAACCACTCACATTGAACGAACCCGTAATTGCCAAGAATATCGTTTCCTGCGTAAGAAACGACCACAATGGCCGGGCGTGAGGTTCCCCTCCTGCAGATTATCAAGGGAATGTTCAATTCCTTTGATCATATCCGGAAGGCCCCGACCCCATCAGGCTTCTGCTTAATGTATTCTCCAATGTTGCGACGAGTTGAGGCATATCCGTCAACCATGTCCACCAATGCCAGTGACGAGCCCCCGGCAAAGACAAAGTTGGCCTCAGGTTCCCCTGGGCATACCATCCCCCTCAACGAGAAGGTTCAAACGCCATCCAGGAGATGGGCATCTTCAGGGCTGACGTCCTTCAGGTAGCCCTTCGCAAGCATTGAGTTGTCCGCTTGGCCCATCAGCGATGTGAGGTCGGAGATGACGTCCGCCTCATTCACGACTCGGCACTGCGTAACCGAACAAAAGATGTCACTGGTCAACGCGGCCCATGCTTTCCCATTTGGTCCCAGCGTGTCATCCGGTTCGGACGCCGGTTCCCCGGGTCGAAGTCCAGCAGCATCCGCAGCAGCGGTGTAGTCTGCCTCCTTCACCTCGGCTTCAGGGAATCGTCGATAGTAGGCCATTGTAGATGCGGTCGAAAGCGAGATAGCACAAAGCGCGGTTGTTGAAGTCGATTTAGATCTTGAGCTGTTCGCTGCAATGAACGCTTGATGGATCAAGTCTGTCATCTGATATGAATAGCTTTCAGCTTCAGTTTCCTTAAGATCAGTACCCCTAC